CGCGTGGCTCCTGTCCAGCAAGCACCACTTGCTGCTGCCACTCTGTGCCCTGGCGCTGCTGGCAGCCGGTGGTGGTACTGCATTTTCTGCACCTCCAGGTGGGCAACAGTGGAGCTCATGATGGGGGGTGCAGTTGGTGGCTGCCCAACAAGCACCGCTTGTTGCTGCTGCTTTTCACCCTGGTGCTGCAGGTGGGTGAGTGGCGGTGCTGCGGCTCCCGCACTGTTGGTTGGCGGCTCCACCTCACTACCTGCGTGGCAGCCACTGGGCCATGGGTAAGTGTGCCTGGACAAGATTTGACATGTGTGGGGTTTGGGTACCCAGCCTGACTCAGGGATTTTGGGTAGGAGCAGGGGGGGAGCAGGCACATGGCCTGGCCTCAGTCAGTGTTGGGGAAGCCCCTAAATGCCAGCACACCACCTCCCCATAGGTTGGGGGTGGCAAGGCACAGGCACGGGGTCTGGCTGAAGATGAACAAACTTTGAAACATAGTTGTTTTTTTTAAAGTATTGTTATGGTATATAAGTCTAGATGGAGATTTAAGGGTAAATATATTGGCTTCAAACTGCGACTTTTACAGCATGAAATATGGTAATAAGAAAGGGAAGCATAAAACTACAATAATGCTGGGTACTCACTACCACTTTCTGGTGGCAATTCAACAACACCACAGTGCCTAAACGGCAACAGTTCTGCTTAGACCCCTCAGCAGTGTGTGTGCAGACACCTCTGGCCTGGAACAATTGTCAAGCAGTTCCCTAATCAGTGATATTCCTGGAATGCTTTAAAAGTTAGTGTTTGTCCTTACCCCATCATGTCTCTCAATAGCCAATTCTTATTTTTTTGATAATGATAATGTATTGGCTTGTCCCAAGTATTTTGTCAGCAGAAGGAGGACAAAGAGGGGTATGAAAACTCACCATATGTACAGCTGGCACATTGCTGTTAGCAATTAGCCCCCTTCTCTTGCCTGGTATACAAATCTCTGCTGGGATGGTGGGGGGTGAATTTTAGTTACTTGATTTGACTCCCACACAGGATTTCATAACATCGCTTCAGTGCTTTCACTGGATTGGACTGTCCCGCAGGGATGCTACTACCCAGCTATACTGGGAGGATGGCACAGCTTATGCCACTGACTGGTAAGTCTCTGATGCAGCTAGAATTTGGCTGCTTATGTTACATATAAGCATGTCGTCTTGCAGAATATGCCCCATTGTACACTTAACAGGAAGAAAAGGGAAGGGAAGGATGCATTTATACTATAATTTCTATTACCCAGACCTAAATCCTCCTCTTAGGCATCCTTTTCCGTGCCACTTGATGCCTTTGAAGAATGGCATAGAGGCATGTGTTTGCCATTCTTCAAAGGCAAGTACTTCTGCTCCACTTCTGGGTCCACCGCGGAGCGCGCTGGCCCCCCAGCCCTGCATCTCCCCGGCTCAGTGATCAGCCTCAGGGGGACCCCGGGTATCCCTCCCAAACCAGGAGGCACCAGTAACCAAGCCAGGGGAGCACAGTGGGGCCCCCCAGTGCAGTCCCCAGAAGACCCGGAAGTGGAACAGAAGTGCTCCTTCCAGATCTCTCCAAATCAATTCAGAGGATTCCGATTCAATTTGAAGAAATTAAAGGGTCCTCTGATTCAATTTGGATTCAGAGATTCAGCTACCAAATTGAGCCAAATCTCTGCCAAATTGAATCAGGGACTGAAGCTTTGCACAGCCCTATCAGCTGCCCTGCTTGGGTTCCCAGCCTGCGCTGGCCTGGAGCTGGGAACTCTGGAGATTGTGCAGGGGCTGGGAACTGAGCCTCTGCTCACCCGCCAGAGCAGCTCTGCATGGCATGGAGCTGGGGACTCCAGAAAGCTGGTTCTGAGCCCCCGCTCACCCTCTGGACTTCTCAGCTCTGTGCTGCACAGAGTTGCTCCAGAAAGTGAGTGGCAGCTGGGTTTCCAGCATCTGCTTGCTCACTAGAGCTCCCAGATGTGCGCTGGGAGCCAGGAGCCCAGCTGGAGGACAGAGAGCTCCCCAGTCCTGACATGTATCAACTTCCCAATCCTGGGGAGAGCTGGAAGCTAAGCAGCACCAGGGCCAGGGACAGAGCTCCCCATTCCCTGGGGCTCCCTGCTTCCTAGGATGACCAAGAGGAAATTTGCTTCCAGTCAGCATCTACCCATGTGTTACTGCACAATACCTACTGTGTGGTTAATCTAGTAGCTTTATTTGCAGGTGCTAGCAAACTTCATAGTAGCTTAATTTGCTGCACAGTCAATGCCCCACACATGTAGAGTGTGACACTTTACTGTGCAGTAGATTAGTCTGCTGCACAGTAGGCATCTCATGTAGATCTGCTCAGGTGCGAACCATCGTGGATCGCACACTAGACTGACATTTGAAAGAAGCTTTTATCCATGAGAAGGTTATCTGTCCCTTGAAGCAAGAGCTGAAATAATAGAAGCCTTCATCCAAAGCATGGTCCATGGGCAAGGCAGAACTATTGGGTGGTACAAGAAGATTTAGGGGAATCTAATTAAAAATTGAATACTAGGGAACTGACTGGCTTACAGGTGTGCCCGTGTGTGTAACAGAAAGAGGAATCAGCTGAAAGCCAGGGACAGATGGAGAAGGGCCAGTAGTAAACCCCAGGAGAAGCTGAGGACTTTTTTGGTAACATGTCAACTGAAAAAATAACAATACTGCCTCCTGCCATCTGACTCCTCCCATGTTCTGGGAAATAGAGTTCTAGGAAATTTTTGTGTGTGTAAATTATTTGTAAATGTCTGAGAACCATCGAAATATATACTTGACTTCATTCTGTTTTACTTGCTAACAAAAAAACCGCATACCACCCCCAAATAGTTGCTCTCTGTCCAGCTCCAAAAGCATAACTCCAAGAATACACATATTTTCATATATTTTTCACACAAAATATTCCTCAAGTGAAAAATAGAAAAGGATAGCACTAAGATTAGCCTGATGAGACCCATCCAAGTAATTTACTAAATAACATTTTCTGAGAAATGAAAGCAACAGGCAGATTGATCCTGAGATTTCGGCTGCTGAATGCAGTCAGACTGTATGGGTGATTGTTTATTTCTCTCCCAGGTTTCAAGAGAAAACACCTGTATCTGGAGAAGAGTCCTGTGCACTCTTCAATCGAAGAATCAACTTCCTATACAAATGCACAGAGTTGGCTCGCTATATTTGTGAGAAAATGGCTGTTCAATGAATACTTTGCACTAGCAGCAGACAAATAAGAGCATCTAGGAGAAAAGCATTCAAGATCACTGCCCCTTGCTCTTCTTATGCTACCCATGAAACTGAGGAGCACTATCAGTAGAGGAGGAACCACGACCTTGGGGAATGTTCACTGCCAGTCAGAGCCCCTCCACCACCCTGAGTGACTGTCATTCCTAGTCTGGTTTAACAGGCGTGTTTTCCATTCTTGATTTCTTTTAACTGGAAATGAGGAAATAAACACTTGTTATAATATAATATGCAATAATAAGTTAAATAAATTAACATGACAAACCAGGTTGCACTATTCGCTCGTGGTACCAGAGGTCATCACTAAGAAACAGACTATATCTGAATGTTAGTTGTGCTGTTTTCCAAGGCTGAAAATGTGGTTAGATATAGTGTTACCATTTGACCATTATGAGAAAGAAAAGAAACAGAAGGCACCAATATTAAGTTAAATGTGAATGGTGGAGGGCATGAAACAAGAATGTATCCCAGCTCAGCTAACAATGGTGATTCACAAAAAAATCATTTTCACATCACAAAAGAGTCATGTCTTCTAGTTCAGCTAGCTAGGAAATAATGGCCATAAACTAGCAGAGAGCAGATTTAGATTAGACATTAAGAAGAACTTCTTCACAGTTCGAGTGGCCAAGGTCTGGAACGGGCTCCTAAGGGAGGTGGTGCTCTCCCCTACCCTGGGGGTCTTCAAGAGGAGGTTAGATAGGCATCAAGCTGGGGTCATCTAACCCCAGCCCTCTTCCCTGCCTATGCAGGGGGTCAGACTCGATGATCTATTGAGGTCCCTTCCAACCCTAGCATCTATGAATCTATGAAAGTTTTTTTCTGAGCCATTCTATCAGAAATTCAAGAATGCTGTTCCTAATACTCAGGGATTTACATGCAGTGACTGTACTGGTCTGGCCTGGTTGATGTGAAAGGTTTCACTCCATCCTAGGGTTCTAGTACAGGTAATGCATCCTGAAGGATCCTGTGCAGCTTTCAGTGCAAGAGAAATCTCTGCCTATACCTGCATTAGCCGGCAGTGCTATTTGTGAGAGAAGAGGGCTCCTTAACTGAGCTTGTTGCGCCAGCACAGAGAATAGCGCATCCAGGATAAACACATCCCAAGAGGTCTGAGTTGTAGGACAAGTTTGAGAATGAAGTTTATTCTATTCAGATCAGTTCATCCCAGCCCCCATTTCAGTGACATTATTTTTCTGGGAAATTTCCTACCCAGGTTCTAGAATCAGTCCCTCAGCTTGATCCTGCCTCAGGGCAAGGGATGGTCAGGATATTCCCTTGAGGTTCCTCCTGGTCTATATTTCTATGATCATCCTTGTCCCCATCCTGCATTTTAGAGTGTCTGAAATAGTTCTGAATATTGTCTCCTTCTCCACCCCATTAAATGGCCTTCATAGTAAACATCTCCTTGGGTGCACCTACATGTACAGTTAGTGCACAGAAATAAACTCCAGTGCAATTTGTGCTGGAGCCAGCTGCACCTGGGCACAGCATCTGCATTTACGACCAGGACCACAGGACGTTGAGTCAGGGCAGAGAAGCTCTGGGCAGGCAAGGGGCCCCTGGAAATAGCTCCAGACTCCAAAGTGGCAGCTTTGGGCAGTAGAGGGGCTGGCTGAGACACAAGGGTGCTGCAGTGCAGGGTTAGGCAGCAGGCAGCTTCCACACATTAGCACCCTCACCCCAGCCAGCACTTGTCACAGTCTACTCATGTGTTTGATTATGCATTTTTACTTTCCCATAGGATGGTCTCCAACAGTACTATCCTATAACAGAGTGAATTACTATGCCCTAAAACTGGCAAATGCGTAGACTGTGATGCTTCATTGAGGAGCTAATTCATCAAATCCACAGTAAAGGGCACATGTAGATACATCTCTTGAATGTGTCCACATGAGCAACAGCATAAAAAGTAGTTGCACAAATTTGTGCCTCAAGACAGGGGCTCCATGTGCCTCCACGTGGGGGCTCCACAGTGGGGCCCCTGCACTGTGGTACGCAGAGACAGGGGGGCCTCCCTTGGGGCATCTCCACTGTCTCCAGGCATACTGTGCCCCAGCCAGCTGGGCAGTGGTTGAAGAGTAGAACAAGGGGCTAGAACCCAAGGAATCCCTTCTACCCCAAGGCCTTAACTTCTCCGTTCAGAGTGGGTTACACACGTTTAATACAGGGGGTCCCAGCTGTGTGCAAAAAGGCTTTGATTTCACTTAGGAGTTTGAACTATTGCACAACATTTAGCTGAAGGGCCTGGCCACAGTATGGGTTTGTTTTGCCCCTGCTATTGCTCAGGACTTGTACAATTTAAATTCTGCCTCAGCTCTGCAGTTATGACCTAACTGCTGGTATCAACAACAGTCACCAGCTCTCAATTAATTTTATATATAATTTTCAGCTCCAAGTGAAACCCTGACCAACAAAGCAGCTACAATATATCTAATTCTACGTCAGAAAAATATGAAGTGTTGTTCCCTTCTGCTGTTTGGCTGCAGGGACTTTTCTTTCAGCAAGATGAAACACCACCTTACATTTTGCAGTGTAAATACTGTATCTAGAGTGAAAACCACTTGCTAGCTGTTTATGTAGTGGAAACTCTTACTGAATGAAGGACTAGGCTGGGTGAGGAAACCTCAGCAGCAGTTTTGCACTAATTCTGTAAAGATGCACCAATTATTGATTGACAGTTTCCTGTTTAATGTCAAGTGAAAAACAATTAAATCCTCCATTAAACAGCACCTGGTGTGGTGGAAGCTGCAAAACTGTTCTGTTTCTCAAAGAATTATACCACGGCATGTGAGATCTCACTAGTTGCCTGATTCATTTCAGTTTTATGTTTTGTATAATTACTGTAGATAGATTAAAGAGAGCCACTACGTTGTATGAAGGGAAGAAAATATCAATTTTTTTCTGATGCAGAAGTAAACGTATCGTAGCTGTTTTGTTGATCATGTTTGCACCTGCACCTGGGGCTGAAAATCATATATAAAATAATTGTATTAGGAAATATTCCAATCAAAATAGATACCATAACTCATATGTAGTAATTACTGCTGGTCAAAGTGTGAGTGTACTACTGTAAAAAAAGGAAGGTTGTGTAACAAAGTAAGTATGGCTGTGAAATGTTGTGTTTTGTTTTGGTTTTTGAGTGGGCAGGGACTGGTTGACTTATTTTGTTTGCTTGTTTTTCTTGTCTGTTTTTGGTTTTATTTTTTATTTTTGTTTACAGACAAACTGTTTAATTTATACAATAGATTAAAATAGAAATTGCAGATTTTGCCTTATCTTTTCCCATATTAGTGGGCAAAAAGGTTCTAACTGTATGTGAACAAACATATTTAATTTTGCAGGGAGAAATTTTGCACAATACTAATTTTTTTTATTAATATGTTGTTTATGTTTTTTTTATTTTAAGGTATTTTAAAAGAAAAAAAAATCTTGGCTGACTTTGGGAACTAAAACATAGAAGTGTTGGGCTTACCTGCAGCAGAAAACTGAAATAATTTGGGAAATAACATAGCCACTTTCCATAAATTAATTCTGCTGAATTACAAATGTACTTATCAAGTGTGGCTGCAATCCTGTCTCATGAAGTCAGCGTGATTCTTTCTGTGGACTTCATTGGCCATTGTGAATTAAAAAGGAATTGTAATGCATCATAACATACATGCTCCTCATTTAATCAACAAAATCTAATTTAGTTATCATTATTAATAGAAATGCTTCATAATGGAACAAAAATTAATAGTGCTCTTTGTGGAACAGCGTGCTATCAATATTCCGAGATTAAATCTACTTCTTAGGGAAGACCCTTCTCTCATTTAGATGCGAGCCACAACAGCTTTAAGAGTTACATAGGAAATGATGCTAAATGACAGGGCTTGCCCAGGAGGCAGCTGCACATGAATTACATATGATAGATAATTGAGAAGTCCTTTTCCAACCTAAGCATCCTGGACCTAGAATCCTGCCAGGAAAGAGGTTTTCCTGGGGGTTCAGTGCCAGAGTGGGAACTCCTCAAATAAGATGTCCCCCAATGCATACTTTCCTAGCTTAAATATGGAAGTATAGACATTGTCAAATTCGATTAAATGTCTAATATTTGATAATACAATAATTATTATTACACTGAGAGTATTCTATTATGCCTGTTACTGCCACCAATTCACAAAACTAGGAAGCTGGTTCTATTACTAATTGGAAATCCAATGTTAATCCTGTGTAAATGCATGCCTTTTGAAACTTCATATACTGATTGGGGAGTAAGCAGGTTAGTCATGTAATTAACTGGTTGTTGAACAGTTTGACAAACAACTATGAAACATTGTCCCAGTGTATTTACATAGCATTAGCCAATTAAATTGCAGGTTTAGTTATGGTGACTGCAGTAATGAAGTGTAACCCAAAGCTGGATTTTAGTTTGAGTAGTAGGTCAAGTTTCAGAATGGGTTTTATTTTATTCAGAGCAGTTCATCCCATCCCCCTTTTCAGTTAAATTTTTTTTTTTTTTGAGGAAATTTCCTACCCAGGTTCTGGAATCAGGCCCTCAGCTCGATCCTGCCTCAGGGTAAGCGATGGTCAAGATATTCCCTGGAGGGTTCTCCTGACCTACATCTCTATGATCATCCTTGGTCCCCATTCTGCATTCTAACAGTGTGTGAAATAGTTGCAAGTATTGTCTCCTTCTCCACCCCCTCGATGGCCTTCACAGTAAACATCCCCTTTGGCACATCTACACACGACATATACTGTGGAGCTGACTAATTAGCTCCATAGTAAAATGTCATTGTCTACACATGCAAGTCTATTAGGCCGCAGTAGACTAATAAATGCTGCCACAGGGAAGTCCAGATAAGGACAAGCTCTGCTCTGTAACAGCTTTATTTCATGGGCCACAGCACACATGTAGACAGTGATGGGGCTGGCTGGGGAACAAGGGTGCTTTAATACAGGGCTAGCCATTAGACAGTC